GGTTACATGAATATAGCAAGAGGTGTTTTTAATATGAGAGAAATAAATAGTTTAACAAACTAATTTTTTATTAAATGTTCTTACCTTCTTCTTTTTCTTTCGGTGGTCTTCGTTATCACTCTGGTCAATATCACTAGTGTCTCCTAAACGATCACCATCAGGAACAGAAGGTCCAGGAGAACATCCTCCGTCACTGCGGTCACTTGCTCCACCGCCGCCACCTTTTGATAAATTTAATACTGACTGTGTCCATTCGAAGATCCTGAAAAAAAAATTGAGAAATTGATTATTAGAATTGATAATTTAACTATTCATTAATAGTGTAGTATCAAGTATCAAAAATCACAAGAACAACAAGTTTATAATAAGTTTTCAAGTTGACGTTGAGTAAAGCCTAGTGAATATTAACAATTATCTTGTACAATTTTTCAAAAATCTGTTATTAACATAGTCCAATGTATTTTTTGTTACTTATTAATTTACAAATTATTTTTGATAACTATTGCATAAATAAATAATTAATTTTTTTAACTTACCATCATAATACTCTCCATTTTGCGAACTCAAATCTCTTGGTTTATGATCTAGTGCAAGTGCCCTGTCCATATCTCCACGCTCTTCACGTAATCTGAAACAAAATATTAAAAAAAATCATAAACAATAGTATTCAAAGTACTTTTAAGCATATATATTTTATTTTGTACAGTTGTCCCAAAAAATTCTTGCATAATTATCAAAATTAGAATTTTGTAAAAACATTCTAAATATTATCCTTAATCTTTGATGCGATTACATGAGGATTCACGATTTTGCCTTCCAATTTTCATTTACCCCTGGTGTAGCTACGGAAGTATGAAGTACTTTTAGCAATAAATAGTAATAACTTCCTTTTCTCTACTTCTGCTTTTAACTCCGAACCTTGAGGCTATTTAATAATTCCCATATTACAGACAGTTCTATCTACTCAGTATGCATAAGAGATGAAATAAAGAGGAAATTTATGCAAGCAGTCAGCGGTTCGGCTCGCGTATAATAAAAATGTTTAATATTGTACGGTTATTCCTTTTTGAATTTCACTTCTTTAATGACTAAATGCTTTTAGTGGGTAACCATCTTTTACACCCCACACCTGATAGCTCGAAAACCTACCCTCGAATGCTAGATTACAACATTATATTCGTGTAATTCGAATGAATTACTGCGAGGAAAAAATCCAGTGGAGGATAATGGATAATGATCAATTTTTAGACATTCTTTGTGAATTTTCTTAAATTCGTATGAATAGTAACGTATAAGATGTGATCTTTATGTCACTGAGCTGAGATGGTAGCTCTTTTAATTCAATTTTTGTCCTTAATTTACAGATGTAAACCATCTAACTAGCACCTTCGGCTAATTCTTCTGCTTTTTGTTTCCTAAAACTCCTACATGACCTTTTACCAATCCCTTCCTTTCCTTTGATGATTTTCAAATCTAACCACCTACCATATTATAGATTACATTACTATATTATTTTTTTGTGACAATTAAGCAATATCCATCCATCTATCTTTTACCAAACCGGTTATTAAATACGAAGTTACCATCCCGACTTCGCATTATGCGAATTTGTTTTCTGGAAAAAGCGAAGATTGTTCCGAGGAAGTTGGGAGTCGGTCCCTAAGATTGTGTTGAATATTTAAAATCCTAAGAGTGGCCGTTTTATAGTAATGCATCATGTAGCAGACACCGCACCGGTGTGCAAAATGTGATGTAATTTTTTTTAATAAGATTTATGCCCTGCACGTTCCTGCTTACAACGAGGATATTTACTGTTTTATTAATAATAAGGAAAGTACTTTGGAAAAAATGTGTGGTATTTAATTGTGGTATATGATATTGATAACCATGATATAATGGATTGCATATAGTTCTAAAGTTTCAGTAGTATTTTTACTATTCTGAAATGGAACGTCGTTTGCAAATGTAAATTTACGACTAGAGCATTATATTTTTCCTACGAATCAAATTATATCATCATTTTATATAATCTTTACCTAACTTTTTTGACATAGCTCCAAATTACCACATCCTAACCAAATGTATCATACAAATTAACTATTTTACTGATACCATTTTACTAATCAAATCTCACAGATTGGGTTTCGATCATAAAACTTTACGATTTAACACTAAATCAACACACAATGTAGCAAGAAAACTGATTTTCGCACACAATTACAACCAGTACACTAATTCGGAAATCTAAATTTAATCCAATTACCAACGATTTTGCATAGAACTATCTACATATGAAATTACTTACTTAATTAAATATATGTAAGTTATCAAAATCGCAAAAAGTTGAATATATGAATCTTTGCGTTTCAAAGTCTTCTGAAAATCATAGCATAAGCTTAAAAAAATGATCTATGAATGTTCGAATACAATTTCAGTCCACGATTTTGAGAGCATGTATCAACCGATTTAAATAACTCCAAAAAAAAAACATTCAATTTGAATTCACGAGGAGACGTGCTGATTAGTTTTTCGGAGATATGCAGCAAAAAGTTCAAAGAATAGCAGTTATTGAAAACGGATCAACCGATTTGAATGATTCAAAAAACATTCAAATCGTATTGACGAATTAAAAATCTGAGCTTTAGTCTGACGATCTGAAGACTTCAACATACCCTCAAAAAATTTTCAAAAATGAATTTATTGTTATATGGATGTTAGAATACAATTTTTAGTCCACGATTTCAGGAGCATGGATCAACGGACTTGAATGATTCTGAAAAACCATTCGATTTGTATTAAAGGGGAAACGTGCTGATTAGTTTCTAGCAAGGACCAGCTGTCCAACAATTTCTGAAACACCCAGCAAATAGTGCAAAAAATAGCAGTTTTTTAAAATAGAAACGGATCAACCGATTTGAATGATTCAAAAACATTCAATTTGTATTTACGAGGATACGAGTTAATTAGCTGTTATGACTGCTTAGCTTTTTAGAAAGCAACCTAATTGTTGACCTAATTTTATGATTGATATGATTTGATTTTTTTCAATAATGATGTTTATTTGTTTATTAACATAGGGAAAGTTATAGTAATCGCAAGAAAATCCAAAATGATGCATATTTTTGCGTTTCAAAGTTTACTGAAAATTTTAGCATACCTTAAAAAATGATATATTTATGTTCGAATACAATTTTTAGCCTACGAATTTGGGAGCATGGATCAAGCGATTTAAACATTTCCAGAAAAATATTCGATTTGTATTGAGGGGAAGAGGTGCCGATTAGTTTTTAGCAAGGAGCGCCTGACCAGCCGTTTCGGAGATACGCAGCAAAATTTGCGAAGAATAGCAGTTTTTGAGAGAACGGATCAACCGATTAGAATGATTCAAAAAACATTTAATTCGCATTGACGAGAATACAAGTTGCGTGACTGCTTAGCTTTTTAGAAGGCGACCCAATTGCCCTAATTCTAAGAATTTGAGTTTTCCAATAGTGATTAGTTTTTTTTTAAATGAAATAACTATAAATTATTTCAATAACAAATACGATTCTATTCCCCATTTCCCTCGCATGCATTATTATTTAAATTTCCCCAGTCTTCGGGAACCGCTATTAAGAAAACAATAGTGTAGCATGTGATGAAGAACAGACTGTCGGCTAATTAAGCCGTCGCTTCGTGATTAGACCGGCTAAACAGTCGTTTAAATTCGCACACGTTCATCGCAATTGCTCCGCGTTTCCGCGTTAACGACCGAGAGGTGCTAGGAGATGAAGTTGGGAGATCTTCTAATAGAAACCCTGGGTAAAACTAATAAATTTAGAAAAAATAGTTTTTGGAAAATATATTAGAATTTATATAGTCACTACTATAACTCATATACAAATTTTGATTGAAAATGTTGCATCTATAGATGCAGTCTGATGCACCCATGGAAAATCTAATTGCAATTACCAAAAACTTGTTAAAAACCTTTAATTTACCACTAAAAAAATTCATGGAACATAATACCTTATTTTCCAATTCAAGCAATACTATATTTTTAATGTCAAATAATTTTTTAAAAAATGCTCAGTATATATACAATTATTCTCTTTCTATTCTATTTTATATCAGATATCATATAAATCCGATCCAATGTTTTACATTTGCCAGTGTGATGTTTGACACCCTGTGGATTTAATTGGAGTCGGGTTGCAGAAACGATTCTGCCATTGTCTTCCTAAATGAATCCCATAATCATAAAGTGTTAACTGAAAACCCTTATCCTTTGAAATAAGGCACAATTCTAAACGCTGTTTATAGATGGACCCTTTAAGATAACGGAATAATAATTCGGATCATTTGATTCTGTTCCGAGATTGGCAGAATATGCTGAACCGCTAAATAGATAGAAGATAGATTTTAAATGTACTTCCGAATTTGAATAGATATATTTTGACACTGTATTACATGATATATTTTTCTTGTGATTTTTAGAACAGGTATCAGAATTTAAGTCATATGAACTGTTGTGGTTATGCATATCAACTACACGGCTTCTCAAGGAAACCAAGTGATTGGCTTATCTATATCTTTTAATGGTGGCCTATTTTTTTTGATTAGGGGGAAGTCCCGTAATGCCGGACGGCACTTAAAGCCGGACACTCTATTTAACCCGTATTATTTAAGCGAGTATAAATCTTTTTATTTCCAAATACAATTGAAAGGGGCGCGGGGAATGCTAACGGTCATTACATACCTCCATTTTTCGTATTTTCTAATCAAAGAATGAAAATCTTATAATGAATACTCCAGCTGAGAGCATCGATGTGGCCCAGCCAAAAAGGTGGATAATTAGTGATTTTTTTTGCAATATCTAAGAATATCCATCAAACACAAATGTGCAGATATTCCGAGTGTGGAGATGACTACATATGTGTTTCAATTATGGTTATTTTGAATTGTCCGTCCGAGGGGTCCACTTCGTAATCACATTTTTTGTTTACCAAAGTTTGATTGATAGTATTAATTATGGTTTAGCAAAGATTGCGTTTTTGTTAATTTAGTTTAATTTCTAACTTTGTTATCTAACATAAGTAATAATTTAATAAATATTTTGTAAAATATTTTTTGATTTATTTATAAATAACCTTAGGTGTCCGGCACTCGGGGACTTTTCACTATATTTATTTGATCACCTATCTACATAAGATATAAAATCAATTGAGTATGATCAATGTGTGTCTATGGGCCTGCATTAGTCTCAATTAGAAAATCACTCAATGAAGTAATAAAAAATTAGACACATTCTTCAAGTACAGTTTCTAAGATTTTCTCCAAAATTTAGTCAAATTTGTAAGAGGAATACCATTTATAGAGTGTTGAACGCTTTTCTCCACTTGCTCAATTATTGAAAATATTTTTTATGAATATTAAATTCACCCAATTCAATTATAAACACCGCATTTCAATTTCTCTAAAATATTAATGCAATTTGCCAAAGCAAGCCGCATTTCCAAAAACTTTTATATATTTCCGTGCATAAACGATAAGACATGATACAATAGACCGCCCACTGTACATAATCATTTAATGGGGCATAAAAACAAATCTTCGATGTTCAAATGAGATCCGAGACAAATTAAATAC